ATTTTTTACATTTTATGTGCTCACTTTACCATTCAACTTAAAATTAATTTTTGTTCTTTCAAAACTACAAATTGTATTCCGGTGATCAAAATTGTATTACTTGATTACCATATATATATATACACGTATCTCAATATGTATGAATATGATTTATGAAAGGTTACAAGATTTTTGGAGGAAAATAGCATACTTGGTGGAAAATAATAAATTTGTTGAGGAAGGATATAATATTCTAAAAGAATAAATACAAATTGACTATGAAAGAAATAAAAATACAAGATTCTCGAAAACATATAGCATACATAGTAAAATAATATAATCAATATATAATATTCTAAAAAAAAATTAACTGTTGAAAAGCATGATACATATATGTTTAAGAAATACAAATTCATATGAGATAGCATACATAGTGAAAATGATATAATCAGAATACAATATTCTAAAAAAATATAAATTGATCGTTAAAAAATAGGAGACATCTATGCTTAAGAAATACAAATTCATATAAGATAAGTATTTGAATGACTACAAATGAAAAAGAAATACAATATTCTTAATAAAAATACAAATGATGAGTAAAAGAAAAATAATTGACAAATAAAAATCAATATGAATATTATTCTGATATGAATACAATTTCGCAACCTTTTTCTTTGACTCTCTCTTTCTTCTTCGTCTGCTATGTTTCTTTTTTCCAATTCTTTTCACTAAATTCAAATCTGAATTTGTATTTATTTCTGATTTAATAACCCTATAAGCAAAATTCGAAATTATTAAATATGAATATATGAAAAAAAATCAAACAATATATTATGTATGAATGCTTATGTGGCTTACTACAAATTACAATCTACTAAATCTCAAATATGAAAATTAAATCATAAAAATAGTGTTTCAAATACTAAAATTCTGAAATGCATAAATATTTGGTGAAGTATGTTAACAACTCATATAAAAATAAAAAAAATGACGAAAAAATTGTAATACATACAATCCAAAATTCAACACAATTTTTATTTCGAAAACAAAATCTTATGAAATCTCACAAAAATAAAAGATGATTACGAAAATACCTTTATGTATTGAGAGATTTCTTGAATTGATCGATAGATCTGAACGAATTGATATTAACTTGAATAATTGATTCTTCTTCAACAATGAGAGACAATAATAGTCAAAATGGTAAAGAGAAAAAAAATTAAAAATCTTAAAGATAGAAAT